TACTGGCTCTCAAACATATTTGTCTCGTATTATAAAGCTTCTCCCACATTCGAACTCGAAATACTGTTGACTAGTAATTTGTCCAAACGTGGTGGAATTAGCTTGTGTGGTCATGAGAGGGCTCGATATCTGTTGTCCACGTTCACGGTACAAAAAATGAGGTCAACAGATTGGCATCGTTTGTGAAAAATCGCCACTATAACCACGAACATTCCCGTAAAAAAAGTTCGCAAAAAAATAGTTGGGCATGCCTCCTTAAGAAAGGATTTATTCTTGAAAAATAAGAAGTGGAAGCCTTAGAAGTTAAGAAAAATATGAGAATTCAACCAAGGAAAAAATGAGTTCGACCGCGATGTCCCTCCCAGAAGGGTGAGAGAAAACCCCGATGAAGGGATTCCTTAAGCAACAACTCAAGTGGGTCGATGTCGACCCTACCACCATCATAGGCACGGTGGAATGAGGGTAGCTGCTCAACTCACTTAGGAGATAACAACCATGGAAGCTAACATGAGAAATATCACCCACCAAAACTCCAGGAGGGTTCTCCCTTTCACACCACAAAGATACTATCTGCATGAAGACGAAGTCCAAAGTTAGAGAGCCCTATCCCCCTAGAGAAGTTCGCCCCCTTGTGTACTGCTATAGATATCAAAGTACGACAGAAGATGTGACCCAATGACAGAAGATGTGACCCAGCAAAGCACTTGAATAGTTACAAAACACACATGAGCCTGAGAAGCGCCACCCCGTCTTTAAATGCATGGCCTTCCATTTGACTTTAAGTAGAGAGGCAGAAATTTGGCACAGTAGATTACTTTCAGGGAGTATTAGGAGCTGGTCGGAATTTAAAAGTACATTCCTAAAACAATTTGCTGTGAGTGAAAAAGGAGATGCTTCTATTCAGCGCCTTGAGGACATGAGGCAGCAGCCCGGGAAGATATTGAAGAGTTTTTTAGCCCGCTTTACCGATATGTGCAAGTCATTGACCGGAGACGTTATCTGCACTACGGAATAGGCTAAATATGAACACTTTCTTTTGGAGGGATGTACAGAATTAAGACTCTTCCAGCTAATATGCTCTACTAGAAATGATGAGGCACGAAATCATCAACAAAGAATTGACTGATCACCGAAACAGAACCAGCAGGGGTCTTCTACCCTATCAGAGATAACGTTGGAGAGAAGCAATGTCTCATCTAAAGACCATCAATGGAACCAGGCTAGTCATGAGGCCATTCCCAATTCTCACAACTACATTAAACGCAGTACCTACCCTGGCTTACGAGAATGTAATCCCCAAAACAAACCTACGACAGACTAGGTTTGAATGGTGGGCCTCCAAAGAAGAAGAGGCCTAAGGCGAGGTTCGAAACCAAAAAATAGACCGAGCACCCTATAATATTGTATTCACCATCATTCCTACAGTCATGACCAAAGAAAGATCGCTCTCCTAGGAACTTGCCCTCGCCTAGGTAGGACCAAAGACCTAAGAGCGAAGAGGCTAGACCCTGTCGGGAGCAGTCCCCACGGCGGAGGAGGGAGCGTAGTAGAGAGAGACCTAGGAAGGACAACGACAACGACAACGTAGGGACCCCCTGGCTAATATGGAAGACACTCTTATCTACGAAATTGAGATGATTTTTAGAGGACCCTACATTGAGGATAACATAAGGAATTCCCAAAGGAATTATGTTATAGAGGCTAATGATCCCCTAATGGCTAGCTATATAATAGATAGCAGTTCCCGAAAAAGGCAACTACCACCTATTGCTTTCACCCAGGACGATGCTGAGGGTGTACATTTTCCCCATTGTGATAACCTCGAGGTAAGGGCCGTTGTGGCTAGTAATGGGCTGAAAAAGATGCTAGTGAGTAATGGTAGTTCCATTAACATCCCCTTTGGAGCCACATTTGATAAAATGATCGTCGATCATGAATTGACTCCCATCACCCTTTGTACGGCTTCACCGAAGACAGCATCATCCCAAAAGGGAAAAATAACCCTTGTGGTGGAAATCGGAGAACCACCCCAGATAGCTCTAAACTTCATGGAATTTTTGGTAATAGATAACATGTCCACTTATCATGGGGTATTAGGCAGACTCGTCCTAAAAGATTTATGGGTTGTCATCTCCATTCTCCACATGTGCATGAAATTCCTTACTAAACATGGGGTTGCCATAGTTAGGGGTGACTAGGGAGGAGCGTAGGAGTGCTACCCGAACTCAATAAGAAAGGCCGAACCTAGGGACGTCAATATGGTGCTAATGGATGTTGACATGATCGAAGCCTCAGGAGGAAAAAATTCTAGATGAGAAGACTTCGAGATGACGGATGCGCTCGAGCAGGGAGTCATGCTTGATGAATTGGACCATCGTATTATTGACTCTGAATCCTAAACAGCCCCAATAGAGGGGCTGGAAGTTTTTCGGTGGACCCTCAAGACCCCACTAAGGCACTATAAGTGGGAAAAGGCCTGCCACCAAAGGCCAAAGAAAGACTCAATGACTTCTTGTGCATAAATCTTGATTTTTTGTATGGAGGCATGAGGACATGGTAGGCATTGACCCCAAGGTTAGTTGCCACTACCTAAAAATTTATCCTACGATTGTCCAACATAGAGAGAAGATAAGGACCTCAATCTGGAAATGTACGAGGTCTTGAAGGAGGAAGTGCAAAAGCTAATAGCCAATGGCTTCATCAGGACGGCAACTTACCCAAAATGGGTCTCCAACCTAGTTTTTGGTAAAGAAACAAAATACCAAAAGCTGATAGCCAATGGCTTCATCAGGAAGGTAACTTACCCAAAATGTGTATCGATTTCTCCAATCTCAACCAAACTTGTTCTAAGGACAGTTTTCGTCTTCCAAGGATATACCAACTTGTCGACTCTACTGCTGGGCACGAACTTTTGAGCCTCATAGACACCCACTTAGGCTATAAACAAATTCTTATAAACAAATTCTCATGCATACAATGGGTGAAGAAAATACCTCTTTCAACATTGATAAAGGCCTTTGTTGTTACAGGATGATGCCATTTGGATTGAAAAATGTCGAAGCCACCTATCAGAGACTAGTTAACAAAATGTTTGTAGACCTTTTTGGCAAAACGATGGAGATCTACATGGATGGCATGCTCGTGAAGAGCTTTAAAGAAAATGACCATGAAATGCACATGGATGAAACCTTCCAAATTCTACGGAGGTATAAGATGAGGTTGAACCCCAAGTGTGAGTTCGGTGTTGCCTCGACAACCACTTTGGGTTTAAGGCTACCAACAATGCGGTTGAATATGAGGCGTTACAAGCCGGCCTCAAGTGGGCTAAAGAGATGCAAGTGAATAGGTTGTTCATTAATAGTGATTCCCAGTTAGTAGTCAGCGAGGCTAATGGCAACTTCACAGCAAGGGACAAGGGCATGGCCACATACCTCAAATTGGTAATGAGTCTACTCCCATCTTTTGCAAGATTTGAGTTAGCTCAAATCCACGTGCATGGAAAACACCTACGTCGCCTTATCCAAGCTAGCTAGTAGTAAGGACTTAGAACTACTAACGCTTGTGCTAATTTAACACCTCTTAAAGCCTTCAACTGTTAAGGGAAAAGAGGTAATATGGGTAGAAGGAACGCCTACATGGATGCAACCTATAATAACCTTCCTAAAAAATTAGGTCCTTCTTGATGATAAAGAGGAGGCTCACAAGCTTTGGAGAAGAACGACCCACTTTGTGTTCTAGGATGGCCTGCTCTACAAATGGGTTTTTCCTTACCCCTTATTCGATGCGTTGGAGGGAAGGAAGCTACCTACGTACTTCACAAGATCTATGAGGGAGTTTGCGGCAATCATGCTACCGAGGATCCTATACTTGGCAGCCCACGAAGAGTGTAACCGACCCACCGAAGCCTCTTGTTGGAGCCTACATGGCATCTCACGTGTAGTTCATAGGACCTATCGAAGCTCACTTTCATTGAAACGGTTGTCGAAGCCCTTCTTGCTGAAATGGTGATGCTCAACAAGGCTAAATCCGAAGCCCTACCACGACGAGTGACGACGCACCTTTGAACCTGAATTCATGAAATCTTGTTCGAATAATTTATGTGACCCCTGTAATGTACTTATGTTGAAGTCTTGTCAACATAGGCTTTATGGTGGTTACCCCTTTTTCAGAGCATTTAATGTACCATAGGCTAGTTGGGTCAAAATTGATACTTATGATAGAATGTTTCGATTAAGGTGATGAGACCACATGACCTCTCATCCAATGGACACTATTTCATATGTAACACTATAAATATTTCCACCCTAGTGTCATTTGGGCGTAATGCGAATGCATCTACTGTAAATCATACATTCTCTCATCTTGAGTTAAATATTTGGTTGATAAAGTTAGATGTTCGATCTTGACTTTTAGTTTGATCTTTGTTGGTTGTTCGTTATCGTGTAATTCCGCTCATATATCTTGTCGACACTCGAACATATTTGTCTCATGCTATACATTTTTTCCCATGTTCAAACTCGAAATACCGTTGACGAGTATGTCATCCAAACGTGGTGAAATTAATTTACGTGGACGCAAGTGGCTTTGATATCTGTTATTCACGTCAATGGCACGAAAAAAGAGGTCGACACGAACCACTTTTTATTCACATGTTTTGAAGGATCGACAAACTTACTTATCCGCTACTTATAATTTAAACCGTATATAAACACTTCCCAAAAGCAGATATACCTCAACATGAAGGTTAGCAAATGATATAATATCTCAATGCCATGTGTCGACTATCGATCGAGATCGAGTATACACAATCTTAAATTGACGTTTACTTGTATATAATTTTCAAATGACAATATATAAATTGAACAGCTTTACAAATCAATAGCTCAATTATGGGGTATTATCCAAGTTCATAGCAACACAAAAAGTTCTGCAATGGTGCAACACCAAAATGAAACAAAAAAGCAAAACAAACCACTAATAATAAATAAAGCCACTAACAATTATAACCCAAGGACGTGAAGCATGATTGCATTTTGTGCGTGCATTCGGTTCTCAGCTTGGGGGAAGACAATAGAGTTTGGGGCTTCGATGACCCCATTGGTAACCTCCACGCCTCTTTCAGCTGGTAAACAATGCATAAAATAGGCTTTTGGACCTGCTAATTCCATTAGCTCTTCATTCACCTGCAAATAATTATATGCACTGATTAAGGGTCAGATCAATTCAAGATAAGATGTATCAAATACGTGTATTGGACACGACTAGACAATATGGGTCTTCTAGAAAACTCAAACTGATGCTTGCTTGTAGTTTATTATTATTTAAACCAATGATCTTTCTGCTGCCAAAATATTCAAAAGCACGTGCAACAAACTCAAGTGCCATGTCTCCGAATAAAACCCATATCCAGCAAAATGATCTTTCTTTCTTCTTGAAGTCTCATTTTCACAAATATCCAATCTAAGTTAAATGTATGAAAGATTAGGCGTACCTGGAAACCTTGAAACACTTGACGGCGATATTCAGCCTCTTCCTTTTGCCCCATGCTGGCCCAAACATCTGAATACACAAAATCGGCTCCTTTAACAGCTTCCTTTGGATCGTTAGTTATCTCAATTTTGCTAACTCCAGCCTTTAGTGCTCTCTTAATTGTCCTTGCATCCGGCTCATAACCTTTAGGGCAAGCACACACAAAATGGAAAGGAACAACTGATGCCAAATACAGCCAGGAGTGAACAATATTGTT